GTAGACTGTGTTTAAGTGAGTGAGTGCCCGGGGTAGCCTGTGTTTAAGTGTGTGAGTGCCCGGCGTAGACTGCGTTTACGTGAGTGAGTACCCGGCGTAGACTGTGTTTGAGTGAGTGAGTACCCGGTGTATACTGTGTTTAAGTGAGAGTACCCGGCGTAGACTGTGTTTACGTGTGTGAGTACCCAGTGTAGACTGTGTTTACGGGTGTGAGTACCCGGTGTAGACAGTGTTTAAGTGTGTGAGTACCCAGTGTAGACAGTGTTTAAGTGTGTGAGTACCCAGTGTGTGTTTAGGTTGTGGAGTACCCGGCGTAAACTGTGTTTAAGTGAGTGAGTACCCGGCGTAGACTGTGTTTAAGTGAGTGAGTACCCGGTGTAGACTGTGTTTAAGTGAGTGAGTACCCGGCGTATACTGTGTTTGAGTGAGTGAGTACCCGGCGTAGACTGTGTTTGAGTGTGTCAGTACCTGGCGTAGACTGTGTTTACGTGTGTCAGTACCCGGCGTAGACTGTGTTTACGTGAGTGAGTACCCGGCGTAGCCTGTGTTTGAGTGAGTGAGTCCCCGGCGTAGACTGTGTTTACGTGAGTGAGTACCCGGCGTAGCCTGTGTTTGAGTGAGTGAGTCCCCGGCGTAGACTGTGTTTACGTGAGTGAGTACCCGGCGTAGCCTGTGTTTGAGTGAGTGAGTCCCCGGCGTAGACTGTGTTTACGTGAGTGAGTACCCGGCGTAGCCTGTGTTTGAGTGAGTGAGTCCCCGGCGTAGACTGTGTTTACGTGAGTGAGTACCCGGCGTAGCCTGTGTTTGAGTGAGTGAGTCCCCGGCGTAGACTGTGTTTACGTGAGTGAGTACCCGGCGTAGCCTGTGTTTGAGTGAGTGAGTCCCCGGCGTAGACTGTGTTTACGTGAGTGAGTACCCGGCGTAGCCTGTGTTTGAGTGAGTGAGTCCCCGGCGTAGACTGTGTTTACGTGAGTGAGTACCCGGCGTAGCCTGTGTTTGAGTGAGTGAGTCCCCGGCGTAGACTGTGTTTACGTGAGTGAGTACCCGGCGTAGCCTGTGTTTGAGTGAGTGAGTCCCCGGCGTAGACTGTGTTTACGTGAGTGAGTACCCGGCGTAGCCTGTGTTTGAGTGAGTGAGTCCCCGGCGTAGACTGTGTTTACGTGAGTGAGTACCCGGCGTAGCCTGTGTTTGAGTGAGTGAGTCCCCGGCGTAGACTGTGTTTACGTGAGTGAGTACCCGGCGTAGCCTGTGTTTGAGTGAGTGAGTCCCCGGCGTAGACTGTGTTTACGTGAGTGAGTACCCGGCGTAGCCTGTGTTTGAGTGAGTGAGTCCCCGGCGTAGACTGTGTTTACGTGAGTGAGTACCCGGCGTAGCCTGTGTTTGAGTGAGTGAGTCCCCGGCGTAGACTGTGTTTACGTGAGTGAGTACCCGGCGTAGCCTGTGTTTGAGTGAGTGAGTCCCCGGCGTAGACTGTGTTTACGTGAGTGAGTACCCGGCGTAGCCTGTGTTTGAGTGAGTGAGTCCCCGGCGTAGACTGTGTTTACGTGAGTGAGTACCCGGCGTAGCCTGTGTTTGAGTGAGTGAGTCCCCGGCGTAGACTGTGTTTACGTGAGTGAGTACCCGGCGTAGCCTGTGTTTGAGTGAGTGAGTCCCCGGCGTAGACTGTGTTTACGTGAGTGAGTACCCGGCGTAGCCTGTGTTTGAGTGAGTGAGTCCCCGGCGTAGACTGTGTTTACGTGAGTGAGTACCCGGCGTAGCCTGTGTTTGAGTGAGTGAGTCCCCGGCGTAGACTGTGTTTACGTGAGTGAGTACCCGGCGTAGCCTGTGTTTGAGTGAGTGAGTCCCCGGCGTAGACTGTGTTTACGTGAGTGAGTACCCGGCGTAGCCTGTGTTTGAGTGAGTGAGTCCCCGGCGTAGACTGTGTTTACGTGAGTGAGTACCCGGCGTAGCCTGTGTTTGAGTGAGTGAGTCCCCGGCGTAGACTGTGTTTACGTGAGTGAGTACCCGGCGTAGCCTGTGTTTGAGTGAGTGAGTCCCCGGCGTAGACTGTGTTTACGTGAGTGAGTACCCGGCGTAGCCTGTGTTTGAGTGAGTGAGTCCCCGGCGTAGACTGTGTTTACGTGAGTGAGTACCCGGCGTAGCCTGTGTTTGAGTGAGTGAGTCCCCGGCGTAGACTGTGTTTACGTGAGTGAGTACCCGGCGTAGACAGTGTTTAAGTGAGTGAGTACCCGGTGTAGACTGCGTTTGAGTGAGTCCCGGTGTAGACTGTGTTTAAGTGAGTGAGTGCCCGGTGTAGACTGTGTTTAAGTGAGTGAGTACCCGGTGTAGACTGCGTTTAAGTGAGTGAGTACCCGGTGTAGACTGTGTTTACGTGTGTGAGTACCCGGTGTAGACTGTGTTTACGTGTGTGAGTACCCGGTGTAGACTGTGTTTACCCTGAGAGGCACTGGATTAGACCATCTTGGGAAATGCTTACGAAGTTCCAGTGCGTATTTGTTTCTTTTTAAGCGACCTCGTCGTGTCTGGGGAAGCCGGGCCCTCCCTGTGTAGACACAGGGTCAGGTGGTAGTACCTGCTGCCGAGTCTGTCCTGGTCACCTCCTGCGCCTGGCTGCTCTCCCCGCAGGTACCTGGTGATGGAGCTGATGGACGCCAACCTCTGCCAGGTCATCCACATGGAGCTGGACCACGAGAGGATGTCCTACCTCCTGTACCAGATGCTGTGCGGGATCAAGCACCTGCACTCGGCCGGCATCATCCACAGGGTGAGCCCCGCGGCCCGCGCCCTCGGCTTCCCTGTCACTGGTCATCGTGGTCCCTGCACGCAGGAGAACTTAACCTTTTATTTAATTTATTTTATTTACTTATTTTTAAAGTTTTGCCATAGGGCATGTGTGCTCACCAGAGAGAAAGACAGAGGGCAAGTGAGAAAGCCAGCCGCCAGGCCCAGGACTCGAACTGCAGATAACCACGTGGGAGTCCAGCACCTTAACCACCATGCCATCCTCTGGCCCCAGAAGAACTTAATATTTTTATTTTTATTTATTTATTTAGAGAGATTTTTTGCTATAGGACATGTATACTTGCCAGAGAGACAAATAGAGAGACAGAAAGCAAGAAATCGCCCCTCCAGGGGAATGGCCACGCTGTAATCCCTTCTCCATTCTCCTCCTGTGACTTGAGGCACACTCACACGCACGCCTGGCATGAGTTTCAAGCTGCCGGGTCTGGGACTGCAACCGTGGTCGACCATGTGGAAGTCTAGCAACGTAACCATTACGCGATCTGCTGGTCCCAAACTTAATATTTTAAAAAAATTGCCAGTGCTCAGATCCAAATAAGCTGTGGGATCGTGTTCCAGACACGTGTGCAGCCCCGGGTGGGGCAGGGCTGCGGGCGCCGCCCACTCCCGAGGCCCGCGGTGCTGCCCAGGGCACTCCCCAGAGCTCTGGTGTTTAACTTTTCACTTTGAAGCAACCTAACACGCAGAGAAAAGTTGTAATAGGACCAAGAATTCTGGAATACCTCTTCCTCAGTTCTCTGTTCATCTTAGCCATGTCTGAGATTCCCTTTACCGAGCAAGGAGCAGGGCGGGGGGCTGCAGTGGCCCGAGGACTCTGAGAGCGGCCTGCCCTGCTCAAGCACTGGCTGGACCGTCCCCTGGGCGCCAGTGCTGCCCCGCGCAGAAGGCCCCTGGCTGAGACAGCGGCCCCGGCAGGAAATAGGAGGAGCCAGCAGGACGGTCGGCCCCTGGCCTGCGTCCCGCCCTCACGTGCTGGGCCACACCGCAGGCCCTCCTGGGTCGCTCTAAACACCAAAGTCGGTGGAGGCTGCTCAGCTCTGCCAGGACAGGTGCCCTCAGCCTCCCCTTCTTCCTGTGCTGACCTCAGTGACACTGTCGGTAGATTTTATGTTCCAACAGCAAGAAATCCTGTTTTCTCTAAATGAGTCCGCGTGGGAAAGAAGGTAGTGGGAGGACAATGAGACTTATTAATAGAAAGAGTAGGCAGCTTTCTGCTGTAGGTCTTCCAGGTGCCAGGGAAGGCCCCACTGCAGCCCTACACAGAGGCCTCTGGTGGTGACAGAGCCCAGGGATCCAGACCAGCCCTCGCACCTGCTGGAGCCCGGCCCAAGCGCTGATTTCCTGGCCTGTGACTTAAAACAGAGCCTTTGCTGCCACCTAGGGGTCAGTTAGGACAACCTACGTGGTGTGGCCAACTTGCTTTAAAAATGGTAGCCCTGACTCCTTAATTAAAAGTGTCTCCTAACGTGCCGTTCTGCTTCTCGGCCTAGAATCGTCGCAGGCCTTTGTCACTTCGGACACTCGCAGGGTATGGGGTGTGTGCAGTGCCAGGGTGCACTAGAGGTCTCTGGGCGGCCTGGTAGAGAGTTTCACTGCATTTTTAGTTATGTTTTTGTTTCTTCCATGAAAGGGAAACAGAGACAGGCACCCCCAGCAGCCTCCACGCCACTCGTGGCACCCTGGACACAGCACATGCACACGAGCCTGTTTGGGGAGGTCTGGGAATGAGACCCCAGGCCTTCCCAAGGGAGCCAGGAGCCTTACCACTGTCCCCAGCTGGCCCCACTCCCGTGTGTGTTTTATGGTCATTGTTGTTGTTGTTATTGCCAGAGGTCATGAGCCCTGGGCAGAGAGAGAGGGAGCACCGCCCAGGGGAAGTACTCACCGCTACCCTCCCCCCCTTCCCACCAGGGCCTCGGGCACACATGCACATGCCTGACATCCCCCCTTCCCACCAGGGCCTCGGGCACACAAGTGCACATGCCTGACATCGCCTCCCCCCTTCCCACCAGGGCCTCGGGCACACATGCACACATGCTGACATCTTTTCCCAGCTGCCAGGGCGGGATTCGAACAGCCACCAGCCAGTGGGGTCGGCCCCGCCATATGGGGCGTGAGCACTTTGTCGTGGAGCCAGCCCATTGCGTTTAAATCTCGTACACTTTCGACTCCAACCCGACTGAGCCCAGGAGTCTAGAAACTGCACTACAGTGGAACGTAGCGTACTGTCGTGAGCGCCTCGCGCGCCTGCTCCCCCTCGCGCCTCGCGGCCTTCACTGTTTCAAGACACGCTGGCAGCCCGAGCGTGCCGCATCCGCTGGGAGGAACGAAAGCCAGGGTCGGACAGCGTGTGGGCCTGTAGCTCCGGCGTGGAGCCGCCCACTGCTGTGCCGCAGTGTCTGGACAGTCCATGCTGCGACCACGCGCTGACCACTCGTGAAGAGGACAGCGGGTGTGCAGGCGAGCCTTCCCCGGCAGAGGGAGGCCGTGTGTTAGGAGGCGCGCTGCAGACGGGACACAGGGCGTGGAGTAGGCATGCGTGTGCCCGGCATTCCCTGTCCCGGCAGCATTGCTCTCACAGGGCCATCAGGGTCGGGGCTGGGACGTGGCTCCGTGGTCTCTGCGGGGTGTGGAGATGATGCAGGCATGGCCGGAGCAGGGCAGCCTCGTGGAGGTGGGGAGAGTGGAAGGGGTGACTCCGTCATGCTTTCTAACGCTGTTAGGAGACGTACGGGCCACGCTCTGTCTGTGGAGCGGCGCTGGGAGCTTGGCCGGGCGGCTGGGCCAGGGGGCTGGGCTAGGAGGAGGGAGTGAGGGAGGGGCCGGAAGCTCCCAGAAGGCTGTAAGCGAAGGATGGCGAGGAGGTCCCCGCGCAGGGCTGAGGAGCCTCTGACCTCTGCAGACCTGAGACTAGGACTGTCCAGATCCTGAGCCGGCCTCACCCGGTGGCGGCCATGTCCGCCTGCGGGCCTGGCTCCCTGCTAATGGCCGTGCTCCCCCAGGACCTGAAGCCCAGCAACATCGTCGTGAAGTCGGACTGCACCCTGAAGATCCTCGACTTCGGCCTGGCACGCACAGCATGCACCAACTTCATGATGACCCCCTATGTGGTCACACGGTATTACCGGGCCCCCGAAGTCATCCTGGGCATGGGCTACAAAGAGAACGGTGAGTCCCAGCGCTGGCGGCTGCGGGCACCGGGGGGTTGGCCCAGTCTCGCCTGTTCTCGGAGCCACGGGAACCAGCAGGTGGAGACTCACACAGACCGCAGTCAGTCGAGGGAGTCCATTCCCTTTAAAAGTTCCTTTTGGAATTAGGGCTGTCGGGCTTCTTACTCAGGTGGACGTATTTGTGGGAACCCTTCCGAGTCCTGCCTGTGCAGCCACCACTGCAGGCCCAGCCAGGGCGCCTGCCCGGAGTGCCCCACCCACCCTGGGACTTGCTGACTAAACTGGAGTTCTGCTGTTGGAACTTACCTTAGTCTAGCAGTACCGGGGCCTCTTGAAACTTAGCTTTCAACCAGCTTGTTAAAAGGGTTAAGGCACACCCACCTGGTAAGAAAGAAAGACACCTGCAGGTCTGCTGCGAGCCGCGGGAGCGCCCCGTGGGTTTGTGGGGGTGGTACACCCTGTCTTCCCGTGCAGGGGAGGTCAGGCCCACCAGCTCCCCCACCCCGCCATGGAGGCACGGGGTCCAGCTGGGCCTGTAGAAGTTGGGGTGCTCGGGCAGGTCCTCGCCTAGAGACCAGCAAGCCCACTCCCCCACCAAGTTCTGCCACCTTTTAGACAGGCAGGCTGAACTGGGCATCCGGAAGGGGGGGCGGTCAGGATTTTACAGAGGCCCCGGGTGTTGCTGTCGGGCGGGTGGAGAGAAGAACGCGGGCTGAGCTGGTTTCTAACACTGGTGTTTGGTAGTGGACATCTGGTCTGTCGGGTGCATCATGGCCGAAATGGTTCTGCATAAGGTCCTGTTCCCAGGAAGAGACTGTATCCTTCCCGGGGGAGGCCGCGCGGCCCTGCAGGCGGGGCGGGCGGCGGGGTGCGGCCCTGAGCGGCCATGGTCGCAGGCTCGCTCGTGGCTGGCCCTGTTGGTGTTTGTGTCTCTGTCTCTGCTGTAGCTCCTGGGCTCGGGCTCTGGCCGGGCTCCCCGGGGGCCGAGGTCGGCGCCGCAGCCATGCGTAGTGCGAGTGCGTGCAGTGCCCACGGGGCCCCTCCTCACCTTCGCGTTGTTCGCGGCACTCCATAATTTTACCATTTCATTTTATTTTCAGTTGATATCTGGTCAGTGGGGTGCATCATGGGCGAGCTGGTGAAAGGGTGTGTGGTTTTCCAAGGCACTGACCGTATCCTTCCCGGGCCGGCCCGCCGTCTCCGCAGACGCCACAGGCAGGC